TGTTTGTTTGTTTTTTTGAGGCAGAGTCTCACTCTGTTGCCTGGGCTAGAGTGCCGTGGCGTCAGCCTAGCTCGCAGCAACCTCAAACTCCTGGGCTCGAGCAATCCTCCTGCCCCAGCCTCCCGAGTAGCTGGGACTACAGGCATGCGCCACCATGCTCGGCTAATTTTTCCCATTTTTAGTAGACATGGGGTCTTGCTCTCGCTGAGGTTGGTTTTGAACTCCTGACCTGAAGCAATCCTCCCACCTCAGCCTCCCAGAGTGCTAGGATTATAGGCGTGAGCCACCACGCCTGGCCAGTTTTTGCTTTCTTGGCATGGATTCAGTAGCTAAGTAACAGTTACAGAATCAGCAATATAAATTTATGGAGAATGTAAATTACTAATAATTATTCAAGATCTATATTATATTAATAATGTTGATACAATTAAGATAGAAATGTTTTGACAGAACTTCTTCTTTTTCATTTATTGACCTAATACCTCCTTTATATTAACTGTAAGACAATTTTGTGCTTCTCCTTTTGATGTAAAAATAGGATCATCTGCTGATATTTAAAGAAATGTTGTAAGTCAGGAAATACAGGATGCTTTCAATAAAATGAAACAGAAAAATTCTCCCAAATACCCACTCATATATGCCATGAAGAATTACTGCAATTTATTCAAATATAGAATTCTCTTAACTAGAATAAACTGAAGTCTCATCTTCCACATAAGGCGATCTTAAAAATCTCTTTTAAGTCTAAAATTCAATAATGTCAAAAATTTAGTGTATACTGAAACCACTAGGTTCTCCTTTAATTTTTACAACTAAAGAAAACTAATCAAGATTATTATCCCATCTACAATTCTCAGGAACAAAGATCTTTAAAAGTACCCGTATTGTTTTTTAAGTAGAACACATGGCTACACTTTTCTTTTCTACCCTCTTGCAAAATCACCCAAGAATTATACCTTACTTGTGAAAATATACTCCACAACTTGGAAATACTAAGAAAGGATGATGTGATTCTCATTTTATAGTGCTTAGAAACTTTAGTATGGCTTACAAAGTTATAACACTCAACAGACTTTTGCTCCAAAGATGCAAAATCAATTTACACATGTTGTAAAACAAGTATTTCAAAGCGATTTTAAAAAGTACTTCAATTACAACTGTTTCTTTAAAATTGGGATATTATAATTCAAGTATAATATTACCAGCTTTGCTAGTTTGTAGGAAAACACCATACTCTAAGAGGCAAAGATCACTAACTGGAAACAATGGATTGTAGCAAATTAACTTTCCTAACACGGTAACAAACCAAATCACAATGGTACTAAAGGCAGCCACATTTAATATCTTGTGGTGGTAAGCATAGCAACTAGGTCTGGTGTGGTGGCTCCAGCCTATAATCCCATCTACTCAGGAAAATGAGGTGGAAGGATCACTTAAGGCCAAGAGTTTGAGACAAGCCTGGGCAACATAGTCAGACCTTGTCTCCAAAAAAAAAAAAAAAAAATGAGGCTGGGCATGGTGGCTCATGCTTGTAATCCCAGCACTTCAGGAAGCTGAGGATGGAGGGTTGCTTGAGGCCAGGAGTTTAAATACAGACTGGGCAATACGATAAAAGTAAACATTATCTGAGTGTGCTGGTATGCACCTGGAGTCCCAACTGCTCAGGAGGCTTAGGCCTGAGGATCACATGAGCCCGGGAGATCAAGGCTGCAGTGAGCTATGATCGTCCCAGACCCATCTCTTAAAAAAAAAAGTCCATGCCTAAGCATAGTAGACTGAGGCTGCAGTAAGGTACAATCACACCACTGCATTCCAGCATGGCAACAGCCTATTTCTAAAACACAATTAAAAAAATAGAGAAAGAAGTATAAAAACATAAAGCATAGCAACTGAAAGCAACAACTCTAAATAAAGAAAGGAATATCAGAAGAACTGATATGTTCAAGAGAAAAAACATAGACCTGTGTATAGATTTTTTGATACTTACCTAGATCTGCTACAGTTCCTCCTTTAACAGGTGTATTTTCACTATCTTTCTTTGGGTTCACTAGGGAAAAAACAGAATCATGTTTTCGGAAGAAAGTTCCGCTTGTTTTTAAGAAAAAAACAGGCAGGGCGCGGTGGCTGACACCTATAATCCTACCACTCTGCGAGGCCAAAGTGGGAGGGTTGCTTGAGCCCAGGAGTTCGAGACCAGCCTGAGCAACAGTGAGACCCCGTCAGTACTAAAAATAGAAAGAAATTGGCCAAACAACTAAAAATAGAAAAAATTAGCCGGGCACAGTGGCGCATGCCTGTAGTCCCAGAGGGATCGCTTGAACCCAGGAGTTTGAGGTTGCTGTGAGCTAGGGTGATGCCATGGCACTCTAGCCCAGGCAAGAGAATAAGACTCTGTCTCAAAAAAAAAAAAAAAAAAAAAAAACAGAATGGGACATGACTGAAAAACACAAGCATCTCACTGCAACTCCAACACCATTAACTGCTCACCTCCATGTAAAAACCACAAGTCCAGCTGTGAAACATTTATACTTCACCTAAGAGATTATATCTTGTAATTAATTACCCAGATATTAATATTTTCGTCATGAAAGAAAACAAAACAGAAATATTTAAAACAAAACATGAAAAGAACTTTTCAATCCTTTCCCAAAGTTTTCTTATTGAGATTTTTGTGCATTTGTTTTGATTCCCATTTCTGTACCATTCATTCATTCAGATAAATTAAGGAAGAACTGCTCATCTGCATGGACGTTAAAATATATCCTGAGGGTTTTACAACTCTGTCTAAACGTTACCTGTACTGTGCTTATGCCTTAGCACTCATCTTTTTCTCATGTAACAGTGTACCTTTGTGATCTTCCCATGAAAGAACTTCAAGGAACATTACATCTCTTTCATTTTTAACAGGTCCACTCTGTTCTTCAGTAGACAGTAAGTTAACTAGACCTATGCATTGATGGGAACTAAGTGTACTTTCAATATTTTAAACTGTTCTGTAACAAACATTCTAATTATTTTTGTGTGAGCATGTAATTATTTAAGATGAACTCTGACAATAAAAACTGCAACTGGATGTAAACATTTTAAAACTTAAGACACAGCCAAATTTTTTTAAGTGACTTCATGAATCTACACTCCCACTAATATCATTTGATAGTACCAATTTACTCAAAACATTTAAACTTCTCCATCTACCTTTAAAGTTTTGAAAATCTGATGGATGAAAAGCTGTTTTAATAACAGCTGTTTTAATAACATACCCAGGCGGGGCGCGGTGGCTCACGCCTGTAATCCTAGCACTCTGGGAGGCCGAGGCAGGTGGATTGTTTGAGCTCAGGAGTTTGAGACCAGCCTGAGCAAGAGTGAGACCCTGTCTCTACCAAAAATAGAAAGAAATTAATTGGACAGCTAAAAATATATAGAAAAAATTAGCCGGGCATGGTGGCACATGCCTGTAGTCCCAGCTACTTGGGAGGCTGAGGCAGTAGGATTGCTTGAGCCCAGGAGTCTGAGGTTGCTGTGAGCTAGGCTGAAGCCACGGCACTCACTTCTAGCCCAGGAAACAAAGTGAGACTCTGTCTCAAAAAAAAAAAAAAGTAGAGGGTAAATGCCAGCACTGTGAACCTCCTGGACATCAAATCTTGGGTCAATAACCATTAGATTCCTGGTGCCCCATTTTAGCTCCTGAGTGGGAACAGTAGCACATCTGATTTCAGGCCCAGGAACATTTGGAAAAGGTGATACGGCTTTCCTCACAAAGATCCCAAGTAGTTCTTAAATCTCTGAACATCAATAGCAAGATTCAGATTAGAAATTTTAAAAATAAGGTTATTCCCAATAATATCAATGAAATATCTATTTTTATGGTTTTAATTTTTATGTTACAATACATATATGGCTTATTAAAATAACAAAATATTTTTTATGACTGTGACTGGCTCATTAATATTATATATGAAATGAACAGGTTATTAAACATCCCTAAAGGCTTCTATGAGAATTCTTAAAGGCTTAAGGCTTCTTTAAGAATGCCTCTAATAACTCTACCCACCCTTCAGGGAATGAATAACATGATTAGAGGCATACGCAGGGAAGAGAAATGCCAATTTGGCTAGAGAGGAGAGTCTATATAAGAAAGCTGCAGGACAGAAGATGCCAAGTACATCTTTATGGTCCAGGCAATAACCAGGAATTTAATGAATCTACTGTCAAATGAAAATAATCAATTTTGTCAAGTGTTTTATCACAAAGACTAAACTATAACCTTTGCAAAATTATATAAAAAATATTTTGAGGCCAGGTGCAGTGGCTCACACCCATAATCCTAGCATTCTGGAAGGCCAAGGCAAGAGGATCACTTGAGCTCAGGATTTTGAGGCTGCTGTGAACTAGGCTGACTCCATGGCCCTCTAGCCCAGGCAACAGAGCAAGACTCTGTCTTAAAATAAAAAAATTTGGGCTGAGCACACCCAAAATTATTATCTATATAATATATAATAAATTATTAAGTACCATCTACACTTTATTAAATATATACTTAAGGCCAGGCACCGTGCAAAGGCTTTAAATTCTCATTTTATTCCACAATGACCTATTCAGTAGAAACCGTAATCCTCACTCAACCAAGGCTCACTAAGTACAAACGAATAGCTCTGCACAAGGCACTATGTTGTCATGCCATGAAGAATGTGAAATAGCCAAAGGTTTATCTTTCCAGTCAATTTGATCAAAATTAGATGATAAAATCAGAGAAAGAGACATAACTATGTTAAATATATTTCTTAAAATTCTTGCTAGCCATGCTTCTCTATATCTACTTAGATATAAAAAAAGATTATATTCAGGGTAGCTTTGTATTAATACAACATAAGATATCTGTAAGATACCATCCTGTAATAAAACAAGCTGTCCAAGCAAAAGATTTCCAACCAAGTCAAAGTACAACTTACTTTCAGCAAAACTTCCAATTTAAATATAAAAATCTAGAAAGCCCTTTGGAGTTTGTTTAAATGCTTTTTGAATCATGTATTTCTTACCCTTTCTTCCCACTCTTCTTTCGTGATTCTGTGGGTGTGGGAGGGGGAGGCGAAGGCGAATGTTTTCTCTTTCGAGCATTAGCTGATGCTTTTCTATCTCTTCTCTCTGGACTTCTGACTGGCTAGGAAGAAGTAAATGGAAATAAGTATCAACCAGCTTTGCTGACTCCTCAGTTTCTACAAACCCTGGCCAAAGGTGAGTTTCCACAAAGATAGCAAACAAACCGACTAGTTCAGAGCAAATGAAAGGCATATCATTAAGCATCCACTGGGATTGAAAAGACTTTGCCTGACCTTGCAGGTGATACACCACCAATGGAAATATCAGCTATCCAAACTACGCTATAACACAGACATGTCCAATCCCTGCACACTTAAAAGCTGTTACTATTTACATGCTGTGCTTCTGGGTGGGAAAAGCATTTTCATTAACTACTGGAAAAATATGAAATACATGTTATTAAACTGATCAAAGAGAAAAGCCAAATGATCCTGGGAAAATGTACCATTACAGAAATTATTCTTGAATCAATCAGTAAAATGAATAGAAATTATAACTTTATGGCACAAAAGATGCTAAATAAGATTGCAACATCATTTAAAAGTCAACCTGTATACTTTCAGAGGCCACAGCAGGAGGACTGCTTGTGGCCAGCAGTTTAAGACTACCCTCGGGGCCGGGCGTAGTGGCTCACGCCTGTAATCCTAACACTCTGGGAGGCTGAGGCGGGCGGATTATTTGAGCTCAGGAGTTCGAAACCAGCCGGAGCAGGAGCAAGAGCGAGACCCCGTCTCTACTAAAAAAAATAGAAAGAAATTATCTGGATAACTAAAAATATGCAGGAAAAATTAGCCAGACACGGTGGCTCATGCCTGTAGTCCCAGCTACTCGGGAGGCTGAGGCAGTAGGATCGCCTGAGTCCAGGAGTTTGAGGTTGCTGTGAGCTAGGCTGATGCCATGGCACTCTAGCCCAGGAGAAAGAGCAAGACTCTGTCTCAAAAACAAAACAAAAGAAAAAACCAAACACCTAAATGATCCAAAGTATTGGATTAGGTACAAGATTCCAAGGAGCAGGGAAAAAAAATGAAAGATTAAAACATGAATTATGAGGTCAGGCTCAGTGGCTCACACCTGTAATCCTAGGACTCTGGGAGGCTGAGGCAGGAGGATGGCTTGAAATCAAGAGCTCGAGACCAGCCTGAGCAAGAGCGAGACCCCATCTCTGCTTTCTTAAATAGAAAGAAATTAGCTGGACAACTAAAAA